CTGTCACATCGTAACTGCCCCCAATCACCAGTCTAACTGCAGCATCCTGCACTAGCTGCAGCCTCTGAACACTTTTCAAGGATAACCCAAGTAGAGCACATTGCAATAGTCCAGTCCAGATATATGGAAGACTGAAGACTGGCTGAAAGTTTTCCAACATGGTAGGGCTCAGGTCTAATCACTGCCTCCTTGAGCACAGGTAGCATGACTCCAACTCTCAAGGAAGCATTTACTAATCCCCTTACCCACTGGGTCAGCCCTTTGGTGGCTTCCATTAGCAGGAAGGGCGACAGTTAGGGACACAGGCGGTAGGCCTCATCTGTCCAATGATCCTGTCCACATCGCTGAGTGCCACAAATGGAAAGGTATCCATATAAATCAGACAAGCAGATGCCAGAAGTACAGAAGTACATAATTTGAACATACATTCATGCTGGCATCTAACCCACGGATCTGGGCAATTTTGTTTGCAAAATAAGTAGCAAATTGATCACAGCAGGTCATCGTGTGGTCAGAGTCCAATTCAATGGGGCTATGATGTAAGAGCCCACGAACCACATGAAACAGCTCTGCTAGATGATTCTACGCAAGCTCAATCTTCCTTCTCCTGCTTCCTTGCCCAGGGGTGATCCTGCAGCCACAACTTAATTTTCTTCTTCTCAGCTCTCTCAGTGGCTCTTTGCTTCCTGCTTCCTGTTTCATGCCTCTTGCCTCGCTCCCCACTCATTTGAGCTCTCTCTCTCTCTCTCTCTCTCTCTCTCTCTCTCTCTCTCTCTCTCTCTCTCACACACACACACACACACACACACACACACACACACACAGAGAGAGAGAGAGAGAGAGAGAGAGAGTTCCATGGCTGCTTCCTGCTTCATGTGGGAGAGATACAAAGACAAGCCAGCCTCTCTCCCCCTCTATCTCTGTCTCTCTCATGCAGAGAGCTTCTGCTTCCTTAACCGGGGCTGCTCCTCCTCTTTTGGGGAAGGAGGGGAGAAAAGAGAAAGAGAAAACAAAGTTGGAGTCCCACTGCAGCTTCAAGACCAACAATGTTTTATTCCAGGTATAAGCTTTTGTCTGCAAGCATACTTCTTTGGAAGGAGGGAGAGAGAGGGTGGGTGGATTCTTCTGACAAGCACAATGTACTCTGAGGAAATTATTTTGGTTTAATCTGAAAAGTTGTGATTTTTTAAATGATTGGATTTCTCTCTTCCTATCTGGATTTATTTTCTTTCAAAAAGACCCTGATTAGGAGTTAGAACATGTGGATTAGTCCTTATATCTTGGAGTGATTTCAGATGACAAATTATAATAGCACACATTGGTCATGAGACAGGAAAACTAGCTCTCATTTCAGTCCAGGAGGATGCATAAAAACATAAGAGAAGCCAATGTTGGATTAGGCCAATGGCCCATCTAGTCCAACACTCTGTCACACAGTGGCCAAAAATAACAGGTGCCATCAGGAGGTCCAGTAGTGGGGCCAAGACACTAGAAGCCCTCCCACTGTTGCCCTTCCCCAAGCAACAAGAATACAGTGCATCACTTGCCCCAGACTGAGAGTTCCTATCTACACCTTGTGGGTAATAGCCACTGATGGACCTCTGCTCCATATCCTTATCTAATTCCCTCTTGAAGCCATCCATGCTTGTAGCTGCCGCCACCTCCTGTGGCAGTGAATTCCATGTGTTAATCACTCTTTGGGTGAAGAAGTACTTATTTGTTCTAACCAGACTGCTCAGGAATTTCATTGAGTGCCCACGAGTTCTTGTATTGTGAGAAAGGGAGAAAAGTACTTCTTTCTCGACCTGCTCTATCCCATGCATAATCTTATAAACCTCGATCATGTCACCCCTCAGCTGCTGCTTCTCCAAGCTAAAGAGCCCCAAGTGTTTTAACCTTTCTTCATAGGAAAAGTGTCCCAACCCTTTTATCATTCTAGTTGCCCTTTTCTGCACTTTACCCAATGCATTGTCTTGAGCTTCATTATCAGTTGTAATTCAGCAGTGCCTCTTTCTAATCTCCCTCTGAAATTCCTTTGTAAGAGCACTGCTATTCTTATGTCAGCAGCTGAATGTTGTGGTTTCTAATGTCCGACTTACGTCCATTTATTCTTTGCATCCTCCTGAACTGAATCCTCCTGGATGGAACTGAGACCTAGGTTTCCTGTCTCAGTATCAATGCTGCTATCTCCATGCCTACTTCCCCTCTGCATATCACACCTAATCCAATAATACCTGCTATTGCCATTCGGCATCTGAAATAATCTTTATAAAGTTTATATCTCTGGTACCTCATGGTACATTTTATAGCACGCATGGCCTGGCCCAACAAAGTGACATTTATGTCAGATCTGGCCCTCATAACAAATGAGTTCGACACCTCTGTTCTATCAGGTAAGATCTCTCCATGACAAAGGAGTAAACTTTAATCCTCCCCAGATCACCCTCCTTGTGGGCACAGTAGACCAAATCCAGTGTGTGCCCTGCTAAATATGTGGGAACAGTAATTACTTGGGACAAGGCTGTGGTCTTCAGGGAGACCATGAAATCCTGAGCCACTCCTGACCAATGTTCCCTGTAAGCTGTGGGGTCTTGTGAGCAAAAATTCTACTTTGTGAGCTACTGGCACTAAAGTTGTGAGCAGGTGATTTGGCTACTGCATAAATTAGTTTGTTCTGGAGCCATCCTTCCTGAGCAAAGACGAAAATGTGTGAGCCGGAGGCTAAAAAACTGTGAGCTAGCTCACACTAACTCAGCTTAGAGGGAACACTGCTCCTGACAGCTTGGTATCAGCATAGATGTTGAAGTCACTCAGGCTGGGGTCACCACCAGCACATCCAAGACAAGCTTGGCCAGCTCAGGAAGAGAAATGTTTGGGCAGCAGGGTGGATGGTATACCAGCAGAACCCCTACACTGTCCCTGTCACCCACTTTCAGGAGCACACACGTAAAATTGGTAGACTGCTGGATGAGGCAGTCCCTCCTTGTTAACCACGTCACACTTGTTAATCAGAATTTTCTGGAGAACATAACAGCCTTATTCCACCATTGTTTGACAACCAGTTACTTCCAATGGGGTAACGAATTCTATGAACAGATGGATGGGGTTGCCATGGGAAGCCCTCTCAGCCCAGTAATTGCAAACTTCTCCATTGGAACATTTTGAAAAAACTGCTTTAGAATCTGCACCCCACATACCTATAGTCTGGTTCCGGTACGTAGATGATACCTTTATCATTTGGAGCAATGGAGAGGTAGAATTGATGGAGTTTTTAGACCACTTCAACAACATCCACCCCAACTTTCTTTTTCACCATGGAAAAAGAAATCGAGGGTAAACTCCCATTTCTAGATATCATGGTCATCCACAAAGCTAAACTTCAATTAGGTCACAAGGTCTACAGAAAACCAACTCACACGGATCGTTATTTACACAAAAACTCCAATCACCACCCTCGGTAAAAAAAAAGGCATAATCAAAACATTAGTAGACTGTGCAAGATGAAGATGGATATGTGAACCACACTTTCTCAACGATTAATTAAATCATCAAAACCACGCACTTCAAGCAAATGGCTACTCCAAGAATGAAATCAGAAGAGCAATTAAACCAAGGGTAAAAGAAACAACTGAGGAAAAACAGTCTCCCACAGGAAAAGTGTTTTTGCCATATATCAAAGGAATCACTAATCAGATGGGAAAATTTATAAAAAAACATAACCTACAAACAATATTCAGACCCACCAGAAAAATACAACAGATGCTACGATTGGCAAAAGACAGAAGAGACCCCCTCACTTCTGCAGGAGTATACCGCATGCCCTGCAGTCGTGGACAGGTTTACATTGGGACCACACAACGTAGCATCCAGACAAGAATAAAAGAACATGAAAGACACTGCAGACTTGGCCAGCCTGAAAAATCAGCAGTGTCTGAACATAGCCTAACTCAAACAGGACACAGTATCTTATTCCAAGACACTGAAAGGCTGGACAGCACATCCAATTACCATGTCAGATTACACAGGGAAGCCATTAAAATTCATGAACATAAAACACAATTTCAACAGGAAACAGAGTTTAAAAATAAATAGGGCATGGCCTGCCTAGACATTAAATGGTAAGCTGTTTCAACAACAAGGAAATACTGAAGGAAATTAGAGTTTGTGAGGGAAAGGAGGAGGAAACATACAAGAATCATTCCCAGTTAGACATTACATCTGAACCAAATTACTAGGTGCAGTTTGCTACTTTTCCCTTTGGCAGGGTCCAAAATCTCTCTTAATACTACAATACATTGTTGCAATCAAAAAGTAGAATTACTGTGAATCCGCAAGCAAGGCTTCTTATCAGGATGTCCCCTTCTACAAATACAAATGGTTCAGATTTGGGGAAAAAACAACACAAGTAGTTGCCACAGCGAAGAATGGGGAAAGATAGTATAACAGTTAAAATCTTCTCTTAGCATTGCCATGTAAGTTTTTTATGCTATTTACGTTGACATAATTCCCTCCTAACCAGGGTTTGTCTAACATATTCCAATTACAGTGGGAATCACTTGCATTGCACACAATGATAAGCACGTTTAAGGCTGGAAAGCGAAATTAGATGGAAGTTGTACTGCGAGGAGGAGAAGGAGAAGGAAGTGAATGCACAAGCCTTTAGTCCACATCTAATTACTTGACTAGCATTTCATCATAATCTTTACCTTCCCCGTCATCTGAAAGAACTACACAAAAACACTTTCTGCATTTCCAGAATTAATAAATTATTTTATATTTGACACTGGTAACAAAAATAATGCAATGGACACAAATTCCGCATGTGAGAAATGATGATGTTTTATGACACCCTCTGACTCGCATTATGATTTAGTGAAAATTTCTTAGAAAAAGTGTTGCTTTTTCTGATAATTTTTCTGGAAACCAAAAGATAATATTATGCCTGTATAAATACTAGTACAGAAAGTATGACATAACACATTAGAAAAAGATGTACTAACCAATAAGAAGAAGGGTTCCAACTGCCAAACCTCCACCTAGGAACAATGTAAATTCGAGAAATGAGAATACATATTAATGTTTCCAAGAATTAATTTGTAACATTAAGGAAAGGTGATACAGGAAGTTAAAAATGTAATGTGAAAAACATTTTAATTACCTTTATAATACTTCTTACAATTCACTATTAAATAATTACATATTACATATAATTATATATCACACACTACAATTACTTTCACAATATAGTGAAAAAATCCTTTAGAGCGCCATATAACTAAACTTAAGGACTTTAATAGTGCTGTTACAGCTAGCAATTCCTTACTTTACTAAGAGCAAGAATTTGAAGGAACTGATGCAGTTAACTCATCACTTCTGTCTAATGACAAGCAATGGCTCAGTTGAATACAATGCTAACTCAGTGGTTTTACATTGGTCTGGAGATGCTTGCCTCTCTCTTGTACCAGTGCAGCCCAGCATCCCTCCAACAAATACATACCAGCACAAGTAATTTAGCCTAGCTTCACCAATGCAACTACATGAGAACAGCACTTCCATTTAAACAAAGTGGCCTGAGATTAATTTTGTTTTGAGGGTGAGAGTCACTGGATTACCTTGTGCCTGTTCACTCAACCTAAAGTCCCAGATTTATTGTAAGGAAAAAAAAAAGGGGGGGGGGGGGGGAGATGTACACTGCCCTGAACTTCTTAAAGGGCAAGGCAAAAATACAATAGAATACATAAAGTCACTCTGGCTGCGGTCACATGAGCAGTTTGTCGCGACATATTAGCGTTACCTGCACAGATTTAAAGGGTTCAATCAGACGACATCTGCCGTCTGTGGACCAGTAGTCGGCAGCCTATCACACTCCGCATTAGAACCAAAGTTAGAAGGCACCGAGGAAAGTCCCGTAGTAACGGACAGTAGCTCTTCCACTCCATTTTGTCCAACATCTGAACTCTCCCAGCAGGAAAGGAACCCAGAAGGGAAGTGTGAATGGGCACTTCTGTCTCATTCATGGGTTGCAGAACTAGCTAACAGACGCCGTTGTTCAGTTATGCGCTTATGTGCACTGGTGATTTTTTTTAAAAACTCCCAGTGGCACAGTGAATCCCATGGCTGACACACAAATCTACTGTGTATGCTTGACCACGGGACAGCCAGTGCAATCAGAGGCACCACCATATTGTCCCAAACAGTCAGTGTGACCGCAGCCTTTGGACAGACTAAGTGAGGGCAAGTAGGAATGAAGTGGTAGCTATCTCAGATCAAGGTAGGTTCAAACTGCAAGTCTAAGCGGAGTGGGACAAAAGTCCACATCATTATGCCACAGTCATCAACTTAAGTGCATGTCATTAGTTCCATTAAAATTAAACTAAGTACTTGTTCAAGAGTAAAACTAGTGCCTTTGCTCCAACCACAAGGCCCACTACTTGTAAACAGAAGGAAAATGCCTTTATTCTGCCATCCATCACCAACTGTAAGAAGGGGTGTATGAGGGTAGGTGATGCTATTCTCCCCCCCCCCCCAAGTGTACCATCTTGAGCACATAGCATCCCTACTTGCACATGAAAATACATGTGTATTATAATATAATATTCAGATATTTGTGTGGCAATGACTGTGTTACAATTTAAGAATTTCTTCATATACAAGCATGGGCTTTTGGTTGGGGGCATAGAAAGGTAGTATGGCAAATATCCTTTTTTTTCACTGGTCCAAAGAAAGGCAGTAGAGAAATACTTTAATAAATAACTTAAAGAAATCATTATGGCTTGGATTCTAACAAATGAGAATGGAAATCAGTTTCCATAATGAGGAATTTCTGCTTCTTCCCACTAAAGCCATCTTATGTTCCCCTTCAAAAGCAACGCCTAAAAGTGGGGGTATCCCTCTGAAAGTGGCAGAACACCTGCAGTTTGATGGGAAATCAAGTTACCAGACTTTTTAACTTGCATGCGAAGGTACTTTCACTTGTTATTTTTGTAATCTCAGGGCAAGGTCCAGTGCTGTGCAGAATATTTTGCTGCCACTGGACTTACAGCCATTGTTAAAAATAAAGCTAAGATATAAAACATATAATTTAGAACTCTGAAACAATAATGAGAAGCTATATGTATTAAAACAGTTCAAGATGACTGGAAAACTTACACTGGGTAGATAAGAATCTTACATGCTAGCTGAAGGTGAAGACAAGCTAGCTGGTATCTAATCACATAGACCCTCTTTCCTACTTTGTCAAACCACTTCACAAGATTTATCACATTCCAATCCAATAAGGTGATATTTAGCCACCGTATTTTGTTTACATTTGCATATTATATTCTTACTGTTGTGGTTGAATTACTTTGTAGGGGAGTAATGGGAGAAGGATTTTATAGTGCAATGTTGAGAGCATTGCTGATGATCAGTTTGTGGGTTCTAAAAGAGACTTCTTGCTCAAGGTAAAATACAGTCCCATTTAAATCACAGTCAGCAAAATATTTTTTGCTAAGCAAAAAAAAAAGGGAGTGAAAGAAAAGGCTTGAGTTCAAGTATTTTTAATATATTTGGCTATAATGATCCATTGAAATATTCTATATATAATAATTGGTTAACATCTCAGGATAACTGTCTAATAAGCCATGTAATACTATGAGACAATTATATCTTAGGATCACATACAAAGGTTTCCAGATATTTTATTAGAGATGCGAAAATGCATAAGAAATGTGTGTACTGAAGAACTGCATAGGAATGATGATGTTAGCAAAGAGAAAATACTCAAACACCTGAAACGCACTACCCCCCCAATCTAGTATTTTTTATTTTTTATTTATTTAGGCATTTTTACCCCGCCCTCCCCGCAAGCGGGCTCAGGGCAGCTTACAAAGGGCGCAAGCTCATACATAAAATCCAGTAAAACAATAAAATCATAAACAATAACACTACTAACAACAATAAAGTATTTCTGTCTGTTACACAACTTCAAAATAAGTTCATTTCAAAACACATTTGTATTTGCGATCTTGAATAAGAGCTGCCAGAGTCTATGATACTATGATACTGGGACAGATCAATAGTCTAAATCAGGTTTAATCTATGTAAAGCCACTTTGGCTATGAAGCAGGATACAGAAGTCTAAGACAAAACATCCCAGACCATGTCCAACCTCCCCCGCACATTTACTGGCATGCTGTAAAATTAGTTGGTGTTTCCGTGAGTTGAAGTTGATGTGCGCGCCGAAGCACCCACGTGGACTTCAACACGTGTCGGATGTTTACTTGCAACCATTTCATCCGTTCCTAGCCTGTCACTCGATCTACATATTCCCCGAGGCATTCTGAGTGAAGCCGAAATTTTATCGATGTCAAGCAGACGCAGTGCCCTATGCAAAAACTACTAGACTTGTAGGCAACGCGAATGCCAATACGCGGCACTGACGGCGGAGCGCGGACAAAGACCCAGCGGAAAAGGTGCAGTCTGGTGACCGTCACCCTTCAAACTAGGGCATCCCTTTTTACAAAGGCTGCCGCCTCTTCTTCCTCAGAGGAAAACAATACACGATAATAACAACACGCACAGGGTTGACGGTCCCTGAGCGCTAGACGTTTGCTGCAGCGACCGCGGGGGGCCGATATATGCCCCCCCCCACGGCTCAGAAACTGCTCCCACAACCAATGTTCCCTCTAAGCTGTGGAGTCTTGTGAGCAAAAAGTCTACTTTGTGAGCCCCTGGCTTTAAGTTGTGAGCAAACAATTTGGCTGCTGCAGACATTAGTTTGCTTTGGAGCCATCCTTTCTGAGCTAAGACAGAAATGTGTGAGCCGGAGGCTAAAAAACTGTGAGCTAGCTCACACTAACTCAGCTTAGAGGGAACACTGCCCACAACCCATTCCAACGCGGGGCAGCAATGCAGGGTCGGCGGAGCAGAGACCGAAGGCAGCTGGAGCTCGGGCACAGAAGCCCGCTGGGAGCTCGGAGACCACTCACCCTGAGGAAGCGGCAGCAGCAGCCGCCCCGCCCCTCGCAGGCTGCCTAAAGACCCAGCCGCCGCTCCCGCCAAACCCGCCAAGAGAAGATGTGCCCGGAGGAGATTCTGAAGCGCTGCTGGCACCAACCTAGAACACAGTCCAGGGAAGGGAGCCCGCTGGAAAGCAGGAGCTGCCCGTGCCGCACCGACGGTCGAGTGCCCGGCAGAATGGCCAAGCGGCTGCCTCCGCCGCCCGGCACTTTCCTTTGGAAACTCGTGGGAACCCTCTCGCTCGGTGTCAACTCTCCGGTCGCCAAGGCCGCCATCTTAATTTCTGCTCTGTTGACACCGGGTTGGGGGGGGGGGGCGGGGGGGCGTTGAAGCGAGGACCGGCGCCCTAAGCCAATGGGAAGAACGGTTATTGGCAGGCGCAGTGACGTCGGCTGGAAGCGCTCTGTGGCGGCCGGTCCAAGGAGGTGAGTCGCTATGGAGGGGAGAAGCGCTCTTGGAACTCGACTGTGTAGGTAGAGAGTATCTTGGTCCTGTCGGAGGAAGCGTGATGTTTCGTTTAGAAACATGTCTCTTGCTCCGATTGAACATGGTATTAATTCTTCTCCCCGCATCAGTACAGGTGTCTTTTTTCACATCTGTAGACAGGGTTGCCAGGTCTGGGTTGGAAAATACCTGGAGACTTTGGGGGTGGGTCCAGGAGAGGGTGGGGTTTGGGGAGGGGAGGGGCCTCAGCATGGCACAATGCCATAGAGCCCACCCTCCAAAGCAGCCATTTTCTCCAGGGGAGCTGATCTCTGTCAGCTGGGGATCAGTTGTAAAAGCGGGAGGTCTCCAGGCCCCATCTGGAGGCTGGCAACCCTCTCTGTAGAGCACTTGGGTGAGAATTAGCTAAGTCCGTGCCCACCAAGCCTGCCACAAGCAAGGTGTGCGGTAGCTGTATTGCCAACTGCTGGGGCGGGGGGGAGCCCTGTTCTCTGAATAAAAGTTTATTGGCATGTTGTTCCCTTCTACACCATGAAAACTTTAACTGCTAATTTCCACACATCTGGCCTCTTTAACAGAGTCAGGACATTTTTCTTCAGGACTGCTTGCAACCGTAGGCCGCTATCACTGGGCAAGCCAGAGGGTGGTTACCACTGAGGGTTGCCAGCCTCCGGGTGGGGCCTGGAAATCTCACAGAATTACAACAGATCTCCAGACTGCTTAGATCAGTTCCTGTGGAGAACGTGGTAACTTTGGAGGGTGGACTTTGTGGCATTATACCCCACTGAGGTCCTTCCACAGGCTCTACCCCCAAATGTCAAGGAATTTCTGAACCCAGAGTTGGCACCCCTATTACCACCACACAAACCAGACAAGCTTTGTGGTGGCAGCTACTAGGCCCAACCTGAGCAAGCCATCCAGTGCCCACTACGAAGCCCAGCTTGGGCAAGGTGGGTGCTGACTGACAGGCAAGTACCCTGCCTAAGGGGGTGGGGGAAATGCATGATAGAGGTTTATAAAATTATCCATGGGGTGGAGAGAGTTGACGAGAACTTTTTATCCCTTTCCCAAAATACTAGAAATCGAGGGCATCCAATGAAGCTGATGGGCAGTAAATTCAGGATGGACAAAAGGAAATACTTCTTTGCACAGTGAGTGATTAAAATATGGAATGCACTGCTAGAGAATGTAGTGATGGCCATAGGCACAGACAGACTTAAAGGGGGATTTGTGGAGGATAACTCTATCAGTGGCTACTAGCCACGGTGACTGAGGGAAACCTCCAGAGGCAATCAGCCTCTGAATCTGAGTGCCAGGAGGCAACATCATGGAAAGGTCTCAGCCTCTATGCCTTGGCCCTCCAGAGGCACTGGTTGGCCACTGTGTGAGACAGGATGCTGGGCTAGATGGACCACTGTCTGATCCAGCAGGGCTCTTCTCATGTTCTTATGTTTCTCCCCAATAGGGGTCTGAAGCAGCTGATGTCAGTCTTACCACCTCCATTTTAATGCACACAGTAACCTTGTGAGGTAGGTAAGGCTGATAATGTGTGACTGGCCCACGGTCTCCCAGCAAACTTCCTTAATAGAATGGGATTTGAACCTTAGTTTCCCAGGTCCTAATCTGACACTCTAACCACTGTACCACACTGGTTGTACACAGGTTTTACAGTGGTAGCTGCCAGGCCCAGCCTTATGGTTGCAACAGGACTGAAGAAAAATGTCCTGACCTTTTTTTTTAGGCCATCAAGTCATAGCTACCTTATGGCAACCCCATGGGGTTCTCAAGGCAAGAGACCTTCAAAGGTGGTTTGCCATTGTTCGCCTCCATATCATGACCCTGTTATTCCTTGGTGGTCTCCTTTCCAAATACTGACCTGGGGCAACCCTACGTAGCTTCTGAGATCTAAACACAAAACCTGAGATACACAGTGAGATATAGTAAACAAAACTGTGTATAAAACAACTCACAATGATATTCAAAATGAATGAAAATTATACACACACACAAAAAACCCACCTTTATTGGCATGAAAGCACAAAACATCATGGAAATACGGGAAAATACTAAGATGCATCAGTCACTTACACTTGGCTATTCAAGCCTCGTCTTCTGATTGTGTTATATAAAAATTTTGCAACAGCCTCCATTATTTCGCAGTTAGAATTAAACAGAAGAAAGTAAACAATCAGAGTGCCAGCTCTTACCCTCTAGAAATGGAGTAATAAAACGAGATCGGATATCCCTATAGAGGGGGCAATGAAGTGTGTGTGTAGTGGATTCTATATTCTATATCTTTTAGAGAGCAAGGACAAAGTCTGTCTACATATGGTATCTGGCGGTACCTCCCTAAAAGCACCTCTGATGGAGGAACATTAAAGCGTGTAAGCATGTATGCTCTGTGATGATGTGGGGCTGTTAAACTTGACAGATACTTCGCAGTAGAACCCATGTCAAAAGTCCCCAACCTGCTTGGGGAGCATCTGGTATTAAAATTATACAAAAATAAAATTTTATAATATCGAAAAGACTTCCATTATTACAATGCAGATATCCTCAAAGAATACGGCTGAATAAATATACAGCAATAGCAAAAATGTTTAGCGTTCACTAAGGATATGCTTAGAGAAAGAAGAGAAGAATGATTCCAATCAAAGGTTCTTGTAGTTTCCTTCACACGACAGCTAGCTGTGGCTTATCGCATTCCACCCAAGCTTCTTCAAAAATTGAACCATACTGTCAAGTGCTTCAGAAATAAGGCTCAAACAGTATTCAAAAACTGGCATACAGCTCCCAAATTCAGATCATTTGCATTGTAATAATGGAAAAGTTTTTTTGATATTATAAAATATTCCTTTTGCATAATTTTCATTCATTTTGAATATCATTGTGAATCGTTTTCCATACAGTCTAGCTTCTGAGATCTAACAAGAGCCGTCTGGGCCATCCAGGACAGGGCCCTGACCCTTTGGTAGACGTTTAATGTATAGAAATTGACAACTGATGTTTTTCATGCTATGGAGGTAAATAATGTTACCTCATAAATAATATACCATGGAGCCTCTGTTAAAGGAACAGTATGCTTTTCTCCAGGCAGCTGGCAACCCTACCCAGGCCCGGCAAGTTGTGTGGTGGCTTCCATGTATGCAGATGGGGGCAGTGCTCCCTCTAAGCTGCGCATGAGTGGCTGTTCATTAACACAGGAAGCCCCGTTCAGCGGCAGTCTGGAGTTGTGCATGGTTTTGCACTGCCCATTGTCCATTTTAAGATTGCAGCAGTTACATTCTGCTCAGGATGTGAAGAGCTCTGCTCAGTAGGGGGGTAAAAAATACAGGGTTTCTGCCTGCTTGTTTTTCGTACCTTGCCTCATGCTTACCTGCCTTGTACCTGCCTTGACTCTTGTCTGCTTGCCTATGGCCTGCCTGCTCACCTTAATCCCTGCTGCTTGTCTCCAGAAGACTGTTGCATGTTGGCTGCAAAACAGAACAACAACACAAACTAACGTGCAGACAACAACACAAACTAACGTGCAGAATTTTTCATCCAGCCTAATGAAATGTTCTAGTGAGCTTAAAAGCTTGCATATTGTTTAGTGTGGTTTTGGTTGTTCTTAAGAAAAGGTATCACATGCTTCTTTTTTGTAGCTCTAGAAATGATGTAGACCTGGTAGAGTGCAGTTTACCCCTTAAAATGGATACCAGTTTAAATTGTTGTTTGGCAAAGAAGCCATGTAGCTGACCAATATTGGGCCCATATTGTATCACATCCTACATGTTGGATTTCAATTATCCTCAGTCCCCTGATAGACCATGGTCAGGAAGTGGACTCTCTGAGGTATCATAGAGAACCTTTTTCTGTCTAAAGGGTGGCCTACTGCACTGTTACAGCTTGTTGTGTTAATTAATTTAAAGTGGTCACAGTGAGATGCTTTTAAGATGTGCAGTGCTTCTGAACTCCTGAACCAGGGCTTGCTTCTAGCTTGAACATTAAGGCCCCTGCCACACGGCAGGGGATAAGTCGCTCAAAGCGCGGCTTTTAAAAGCCGCACCAAAGTTGAGACGCCGCGGCGGGATCCCACGATCTCCTGGGCCGCGGCACCTTTTCTCCCCGGCACGATCAGATGCCGAGGAGAAAACACAGTTCAGAGCCTGCCGAACTGCGCATGTCAGAGCATACGCAGTTCGGCTAGGAGCCGGGGATGAGCCGGCGCAAAGACGCGCCGGCGATCCGAAGGCCTGGCTTGCGGCGCTTCAATCAGAAGAACCACCCAGGTAGGTGGTTCTTTTTGGTGCGGGTTTTCGGCCGGGAGAGACGGATCGGAGACGGGCAGGCAACAATTCCCAGATGTTGCCGTGGGATCGTGCCCGTTTGATCCGCCCCCATTCTGTATCACTCCCGGACCAAACCCCCTCGTCTGAACAGGACCTATGTGTGCCTTCTGTTAAGATTACTACAAGGATAAAAATAAATTAGTTTTAAGTTTGATAGGACAGGAAGTATTGCATATATTTCAATTTCCCCCAAATTTTCCATTTTTGCCACCTCTGAAGTAAATGAAGGGGGGGGGGGAGCCCAGTTTTTCCCCTGTGGCTTTAAAAGCTTCAGAAATTTTGCTTATACCCAAATACTGAACACAAGTCTGTGATTGCTACTCTATAATGATCTGTTTAAAGTTGCACAGACAACCCTTGGTGAAGTTTGATTATGCCAGTTGGCCTACTTGAAGTCATTTTCTGTGGAAGCAAAATGTGTATGACTGCTTAAGACTGCCAGCTCTCCATTCTCCTCACTAGTTTTTCTTTGGCATTTGTAATTATTTGAAAAGCTACTGGAATTATACTTAAAATTGATCATTATGTGGAAATAGTATATAGGGATGGGGGAGAAGTTGACCAGGTAGCAACTACTGTTTGTTGGAACAGAACAGGTAACTGAATTCCATGCAGCATGAATGTTGAGTAAAAAAAAAAAGTTCCACTAA